CCTGAAAACTCGCAGTCCTCAGCTCAGGATCAGACTGCATGGCATAGTGTGTTCTTATGCCACTGGAAGCCTTGGCCAATGAGCTGCCAGAGTGGGAGGTTATTAGGTGTGCTAGTGTTGTGCCTAGAAACTCTAGTCATGGAGCAGGAATCTCTTGCATGGATACTGTGTAAAGGCAGAATAAAAAGATCGTCCCAGTCCCAAAAAGTTTACAGTCTAAGACTAGAAAAAGAGGCAAAGATGAATACAGCAAACAGACAGATGAGAATAAAGAACAATTAGATAATAGTGGCCAGTATGATTGACTGTGGAAGAGCTGTTACTGCACTGTTATTATAGTTAATGTCACAGTTATCCTGAAGTGCACATGAATCCTGAAAGTAGCTGGACATTTTCAGCAGAAAGTTTTTTCCACAGGCTACCAATAAGCAAGGAGCATGTAAGTCCTAGGACCCTGCCTCCAAAGTTTAAGTCGAGGTTTATCTAGGGCTTTCAGGCTCCTAGCTCCCCATGAATTTACCAAGTGAAATGATGAGGTGCTAGGAGCTTGAAAGCCATGGGAATATCACTCCTGACAGAAATCTACATATACAGGGACATGGGAGCTGATGTGCTGCTCCTAGCATCAAACTGCTTCCATTTCTTATGGCTCTGCTGTGTGGCCCTACCACCACCAGGGGAGCTCAAGGCTCTGGCCACAGCTGCCAGCAGCCATCTTGAAAAGCCAGTTCCACTCTCTGCTTCCTGGCCAGTCACTTCCCTGGCCAGGAACAGCATACACAGTGCAGAAGCAGCACGTGGCAGCTGTCTCTTCACCAGCACACCAGGCTGATGCTGGCCATTGTGTTGACCCTGCTGGCCCACTGTGCTGACCATTGGCTGGCCCATAGCTACCTGGGCCCTACCAGCTCCCCCACATACAGTGACTGCCTGCCCAGCCACACTGTGCCATCCCAGGGCCACTGCCACTGCACAGCTGCCACCTGAACCCTATCCTACTGGCCAGACCCTGGCAGAGTTGCCAACAACAGGCTGCTGGATGCCACTGTTGGGGCTGCCCTACCCTCCTGGGCCTCTAACCCTGTTCCCCCTGGGCCCACTGGGCCAGCCAGGACTGGTGACTGCACAGCATCCAACAGACCTGGGAAGATGAGCAGTGGCTGGAGGCTTTCCATATGAACCAGGCCACCTTCCTGAAACTCCTGGAGCAGCTCCGCCCACACCTGGAGTGGCAGGACACAGCTATGAGGACACCCTTTCCTACAGATACCCAGCTGGCCCTCACCCTGCTCATGCTGGCTAAGCCTGCCAGTTTCTATTACATAGGCCATGTCTTTGGACTGGGCAAGGCCACAGCCAGAAAGTGTGTGGTGCCCTCCAGGACGTGCTGGGGCACACAGTGCTGCAGATGCATGACCCCCTGGCAGTGGTGTCAGGGTTCCACACCCTGGGATTCCCCCAGTGTATTGGGGTCTTGGATGGGACCCACATCCCCATCTCTTGCCTGCCCCATGGTGACCACCCCTACTATAGCCAGAGGGGCTTTCACTCTGTTGTGCTCCAGACCATTGTTGACCACCACACAGCCTTCACAAACATGAGTGCCAACTGAGCAAGCAGTGCCCATGATGCCTGCATATTTTGCAACTCTATCCTACCAGGCCTGGTGCAGAGTGGCCACTTCACACTAGGGGTGCCGAACCTGCAGCCGGGCTCCATGGTAGTCCTGCACCTTCTCATCAGGAACCCTGCCTACCTGCTCAAGCCCTGGCACATGAGACCCTACACTGGTGAGCTGGACCCCCTTTAGGTCCACTTTAACTGATGCAACCTGGACTGAGCTCAGGTCTGATGAATGAGAGGGAACTGGAACAGAAATCAATAAACCCAGATCAATGTGCTGGAAATCACTGATAAGCAAAATCATAAGGATGGGGTTTTTTTCCATAACCCCTTTTGGGGGTCCTTAATTTTACTGCTGAAATGAGGAATATAGAGTGGGCAGAAAAGTGAGCTTTACTTTCTTGGCTTCCTTGCTGTAGTCAGCTGTGACCCCAAGATCCACCACGACACCATTGGGCTTTTATTGCCCTGAGCTTTGAAGGTGGCCTGGCCAGACAGAGCTAGAGACAACCCAGATGGTCACCTCCACCAGTTTTGGCTAAGTGCTGAACAACACCTGGAGTGTGACATTTGGCTTCTTGCTGTCACCTTCCTCTTGCCTTTTCCTGTCTCCAATCTGGCCTCTTTTTCTCTCTTTTCTTTTGTTTAAAAGACATCTGGCTTTGCTGGTCAACACTGCCATGAGCCCGCGACCAAGAAAGCATGTCTTCAAAAGCATTGCCTTAAGCAGCTGGTAGGATTTGGCCAGGTCTCCGAAGACCTGAGCAGGCTGTGTCTGTGCCTTTCTTCAGCAGCAAATTTGCAGGGAACAGTTAGTATCAAAACTGGAAAGTGTGCTATTTTTCTCTCTCTGCTGTTCTTCTCTCTCCCCTTCCATGTGTTTGTTTAGTTGTATCTTCAAGGAAGTGGGACCAGACCCTGACAACAACTGTCGCAGAGTCTCTGAACAAACTTTTCTTTTCCCCAAAAAGGCCAGTTACGACCCCCTCGAAGACCATCAAACAAGGGGCTTTCATGTAAGAACTCTCTGTGGCTAATGGGAGTGAGGGAAGGGATGTTGCTTAAAATGTACGACACCAATACTTTACATTTCCAATGCTGGGACTGCTTCCTCCTCCTAGTGTCTCTTTAACAAAAGGTTAAAAAGATTTTCACTGGTTGTTTGCGGGCTGTGGTATGCGGGCTGAGCGCCTTGCTTTCCAAACTCTGAACCTAATCGTTTAACCATGTAACATTAACATGCCTCTCCCTGGAGGCCACTAACACCTGTAGGTTTTTCTGGGTCTATTAATTCTGCCCAAATTGCTACTGAACTCTAAATTTAGAAACGTGTATGATCTGTGACCCCTGGAATAACTGGTTTGTCTGTTAAGGCAGCAAAACAGCAATGTTGTCACCTGTGAATGTGCGTGTTTACTGTACACTTTTAGAAATGCATCGGGTGGTTTGTGCAGACTAAGAGCCAGTTCAAACCATGTCCAGGGTTTTCTGAGGTTCAGCAGAAGTTACCAGAAACTTCACAGGATTGGGCCTGCCAGTTCATGTCGAATTTTAGTCTTAATCAGAGAGGCTTAATTAAGCATCCAGATTGTCAGGTAATTGCTCGAGGCACGGACGAGTACCCAGCCTCGGAGGGTACGTCCAGGGTTGCCCTGCGTGGAGCTGCTCCTCTGAGCTGTCCCGGGGGCTGCAGTTATGTTCGGCAGCTTTCTCTCTCTAGGCTTCGCCTGCATGATGGAAAACTCGTTAAGGACCGGCGGTACCACCTTCGAACATATCCCAACTGCTTTGTAGCAAAGGAGCTCACAGACTGGCTGATTGACCACAAAGAAGCACCAGACCGCGAGACGGGAATCCGCCTAATGCAGAAGCTAATGGACCATTACATCATCCATCACGGTTGGTGAAATCCTTTAGCTACCCTTTCACTTGCCCGGGAGAGACTCTTCTAAGCGTCTGTCTCTTTTTCCACGATCCCTGGCTTGCCTTCTGCAAACCCACGGGCAGCTCCCCAGAAGTCAGTGGAGTTATTGAAGGGACTGGTCTCCTATTTATTTTTCCAGCTATTTAGGTTTGGTCTCTACCCTGTGATTGCTACAGAAAACAGGTTATGGCTGTGCTTGAGCGGTATAATCCTTCCAGGTGTGTCACTTTGGAGAGGGCAATACCATCCTCTCAGCAGGCTCTTGTCTACAGTGAGCACCCCAGCAGCTGCTAAAATACTGTAGTTTCAGCATTCCCAGAGCCCAATCCCACCACCCTGTTTGTGCCATGCAAAACCAGAAAATGGAAGAAATAACAGCATCAAAAAAGCAATGCAGGTAAATTTATTTTCACTGCACCCGCCTGTAGCTTCTCAGCTTCCATGAAGGTTAGTCACAGAGGTGGGGCAGGTTGCAGACCCCCTAGCTGTACGGAGGAACGTGACCCTGACACACCATGGGTCAAAACAAACTCCCAGAAATGCCTCCTTTGGGAATTTAAAACATTCTGGGCGTGTCTACACGTGCATTTACTGCACAGTAAGTTACTGCACAGTACAGGGTTTTTAGACTGGCGTCCATATGTGTAGGTGTTACAGCGCAGTAGCTCTGTGTTCACTTCGACTTGGGAGTAAAGTTACTCCCAAGTCGGAGCTCACACACACTGTGTTACCGCACAATAACTAAGTGGGTGTAAATTTGCTACCTGTATGATGCAGGTAGCAAATTTACACCCAACTTGGTGTAAGTCACCACAGTTACTGTGCAATCATCTAAGTTACTGCACAGTAACTGTGCACATGTAGACGCGTTCTCAGTGTCCTTTTACAGGCCTTTTCTGGAAGCAGTTCTGAGTACAGATTAGCTTGTTACCTGGCTCTGATGAGGTTTCGACCCAAGTCTCCTCCTATTTTTGGGTCTCTCTCCCTCTCTTGTAATAGCTCTGTTTTGTTTCTGTACAAACCTGGGACATACGTTACTCTTAAGAGAGGTTTGGCCAAGTCATAGGAGTGCCAGTGTGAGAGAAATAGTCCCAAAGGTTTGATCCTGGGTCTGATACAAACATCTTGCCCTTGGGTGCAGCCATGTCTCAGTTTTCTCCCTCTCAGAAACGGGTATAGTAGCAGAAGTCTGGAATGGGCTGGTCATCTCCATGAGATATGTCTCACATTTCATCTGTGAATTCACCCATGAAGCCCAGTAACTCATGGCTGAATTTGTGCATATTTTCTACATGCTCCATCTTGGAAGAATCCAAGTGCCATGTCCCTTGATTTGAAAGCAAACCCCAGACTGACATGCTTTTGTAACTGGGTGCTGCCTTTTGAAACCACACTTTGCAAACATTTGC